TATGCCACAAAATAGTTTGTTTCAATTTTGGATCAGTTACTACATTTACATGATCCATAGCAGTGCACCCTTGTAGGACATAAAGTCCATTTTTCAAGATTCCTTTCAATTTAATCAAGGAACCTTTATATGTCTCCATAATATCAGCTTCAGATTTATAGTTGTAACCAACTCTGTCCAAAGTATCAAGGGATATTAAATTTCTTTGAGTTCAGGGATAAATCTTACTGAAGTGAGTAATTTTTTAGTGCCATCATCTAGCCTTAACCTTACTGAACCAACACCCATGATGGTGCATTTTTGGTCATTACCCATCAAGACCGTTCCACCATCACATTCACTAAAATCTTGAAAATATTCTATGTGGGGCTCATGTGGAAAGAGCATCCAGAGTCCAGGATCCACTCTTCACCACATTGATGATTAGATACAGCTAGAACTTCAGCTGAATCATAACCATCATGAATATTGGCAGAAATACTCTCTTCTTTCTTCTCAGAACTGTTATGCTTATTCTTGGCCTTAAGCAAATAACAATTTCGCTTAATAGGTCCCTCTTTATGGCAATGAAAACACCTTTTAACATTCCCTATTCCTCTTGACATCAATTTGGATTTACCATGCTGTCTGCTATGGTGAGTGTTCTTGTTTTATGATCTGCCTATAGTTAATAACACTTCTGCTTCTTTTTTTCTGATTTAATTTCTATGTCCTTTGATCTTAAAGAATCTAAGATCAAATATAGGGTTAGAGAATCTCTTCCGTATTTAATTACTGATTTAATTTCTTTGTAACTTTCAGGTAGCGAGTTTAAAAGAATAACCGCCTGATTTTCATCTAACATCTTTTCTCCAGTATTTTCCAATTCTAAACAAATCCTATTAAACTCATCTAGATTTTCATCTAAGCTCTTTGAGCTATCCATCCGATAGCCAAAAAAACTTCTCCTTAAGATATATGTTGTTTGGCAAAGATTTGCTAATAAACAACTTCTCAAGTTTTTCCCAAAGACTGGCAGCCTCCAACTCCCCATCTACCTGTCGAAGTACATTTTTCTAGGTTATGCGCCTAGTTATGAGGGGGTGTCTCCTCCTGCTCAGTGTTGAAAGTACATACTAGTTTCAGTTTTTTCATGGTTGTCGCGTAGCATTCTCATGAGGCTCTTTGTTGTCCGAGGACTACCACTGTCCCCTACGGTGTTGGAAATTTCATCAGTTGATGATAGGTTGAAGGGATTGCTCGCATGTTGTGTATGGCGAGCCCTCGGAGGTTGTGTATGGCGGACCTCCCTATGACGGTGGTTGTACGCCGAAGGGTCGTCAATCACTGCAAACTCTTCCTCCCTCGTGATTTTTTCTTTTCCTCCCCCAGTCTTATGTGCAGCTTGATGCTGCTTACGGGGTATTTAGCACCCCAAAGGTGTGGGGCACCTCTTCAACTTTGCTAAATCCCACCCTAGGGTTTTTAGCACCCCCAAGGTTAAGATGCTCGTCGAACTCCCTTTTTCAACGAGGACTCGATGCGTGGGGACGTGGTCGATGTCCATGATAATAATGAGGGCATCATTATGGGGTTGGCGCTGCGACTTCATCGTCTGATAAGGTCATAAGGAGGCTCGACTCGATTGCTCTTGCTATTAGAACCTCCTGGGCAGAAGAGCTGGTTTTGGCCTGTTGGACTAGGGCTTTTCATTTGTTTCCCGAGTAACCTTTGGTCGGTCATCCACAGATCGTGAGGATGGTATGCGGGCGGTTGTCCCTCTTGAGGGATTTTGACTTCTAATCACCTGTCCTAGTATACCGCTTGGTCGTCCGGTTGAAGGTGCTTCCTGTTGGGTTTTATGCTCTAAACTTGTGGTTTGTAAACATAAAAAAATATCCATTCAACAAAGATGTTATTGATAGAACTGCATTAACCAAAATCCAATAAACTAACATCTAAGGTTATGTCATGTAATTGGAACAGTATATATTTAATATACAGCGTATATATTTGATATACAGTGTATATATATACAGTATATTATCGATATACAAGTGGATAATGTTCCAGTAGTAACCTAAAGGATCTATAGTATATGGACAAGGTTGGCTGTCTTATCCTGGTAACACTATGGATACGACCCACCTTGTAATAGTTACAAATAACTTGATCTAGGTCGTTCGTGTGAAGACATGCGAGTGGGGATATCCTATACAATGAGTTTGTATAAGACCGGACCGCGAGATAATTAATCTTTAGTTGTAACACCGTTAGCTAATAGATTAATATTTCAATAGGATGACCAGGTAACTCAATCTCAATCCTGAGAGAGTTATGGACTCTTGCCTTTTAGGGCTCGTCCTTTGATTTGTATGGGTGAGAGTGGTCCGAGTCGCCGACTCAATATGCCTACCATTTTCGAGACGATACCGAGTGGGGAGCTGGGAGCATAACTACACAAGGTAGAATTCACTCCTTCCCGACTTTAGGGTAAGTAGATGAGTGTTCTCTTAAGTGCTGACTCTAGGACTTGAACAAGGGGCCCTACCCTCTCACTGGCCCGAGAGGGACTTTCGGTTATTGGTTGGACCATAACCGGGTTGTTCATTAGAGGATCAGCGGTACTTAAGGCATAAGATGTAACACAGGGGTACAACGGTAATTTGACCCAACTGTAGTTACGAACGCTCGTGAAGGATTGACTTACCGTTAATTGTCAAAATCCATGGGCGCAAAATATTCTACGGTGAGAAGAGTGCAAAACTGTGGGTCTTTAGTGGAGTGATCGACAGTTAATGAATGTTATTTAATATGGTTAATGAGTTTAATCAATTAATATCGTATCGTTGGAGCTTCCAATTTGTAATTTCATTAGGTCCCCTTGCTATCTCGTAAAGGATAATTAAGAACAGTTAGTCTTGAAAAGAATTTGAATTGTTCAAATTAATTAAAGGAAGTTAAGGTTAATTGTATGAGATGCAATTAATATAATGTATGTTGATACATTATAATATAAAATTAATTTTGAATTGGATTCAAAATTATGAGAGAGATGGATATTAGAATTTGATTCTAATATAGTTAATTAATTTAAGTTTAATTTAATTTAATTAATGTGATATATTAATTTGGTTAAATTAAATTAAATAAGATTTAATTAAATTAAATTAATAATTTTTTTTGTAATTAATTAAATTAGATTTAATTAATTAATATTTTAATTAAAATAAAAGAAAAAAAAAGGGAAAGAAATGGGAGGATTAACCTCCCACTTCCCACCATTAATGGTGTGAAGCAGTAAGGTTTTCTCACTTCACACCTTTTTAATGGTGGGAAGTGGGAAAATGGTGAGTGGAGAAGTTGTGACTTCCCCATCACTCTTCCTCCCTTATAAAAAGGGAGGTTCTCCCCTTCTTTTCGCTCTCGACCCTCGGTTGTTGAGTTTCCGAAACTCCAACGAGAAAATCTCTCTCTCAATTTCTCAATTTCGCTTTCAATTATAAGACGGTTCCCACAAACCAAGTTCTTAATATCCAGATGATAGCGAGGAAGACTTTGTGGTGGCGTTGGCGTCTACATTGAAGAGGTGTCTTCAAAGTTATGTATCACTAACTTTCTTCTTACTCATGCTTATGTCTTTTCTTTGTTGTAATTCTAAAACAAGATCGAAGCACACGTGTTCGAGCGCTTCCGCTGCGGGATCTGATCCCTTCAATTGGTATCAGAGTCTAGGCTCTGCTTTCGATATTGTTTTGAATAAAAAGGAAAAGAATGGTGGGTGTTTCTATACATTTGATGTATGTGGTTTGCAAATAGATGGTTTCAGTTTTCGGCATTAGATTTACAGTCTTTCCGTTGATTCGATCAATGTAAAAGCTCGTTGTTTTGGGCATTTATTCTTGTAAATCGAGTCTGTAAGTTCGTGTCGTTCGTGGCAAGTAGTTGCTGTGAAAGAGTACTAGAGAAGTGAAGAAAAACCAGAAAAACCAGGTGGACAGCGCCTCGGCGCTAGGGGCGGCGCCTAGGCACTGAACAGCGACGCCTAGGCACTGCCCAAGATGCAGAAATCCGAGGGCTCTGGCCTGCAGCGGTGGGGGCAGCGCCTCGGCACCGGGTCCGAGCGCCGGGTTAAAAAAATTTTTTTTTAATTTCATTTCTTATAGGAAGCCAAAAACCGGTTTATTTGCTATTTAATTATTATGCATTTTGAATGTATACTTAATTAGTTGTATATATTGCATAAAGTATGTCATATAGTTTAAAATCCCACCAAAGGTTAAGCATGTTCATGCATTATATGTATATAATAGTTATAATGTATGATAGCATGATTTATTTTCATGATTAATTAATATAAGTGTTGTATGAATTAGATGAAAATAAAGTTGTATTGAGCATGACATTACTTTAGTAAATATAAATGTTATAATGTATGTCATTGATGTATGATTATAGTTTCAATTTCTTTAAATTTTTAAGTGTTATAAGTTTTGTGAATAGAAATTCAAGTCTATAATCAGGAATTACATGCAAACCCTAGGTCTTCAATAATTAATTTTATAGGGGTTTGAAATTGATTATATCCTAGGTTTTATACTTTTTATTTTAGTTTTAATTAGGTTTAAAATGACGAAATAAAATGTTAATATAAAATATTGACTATAAGGGAACCCTGTCTAAGAAAGGTTCTGTCTAGGTTGAGGTACTTAAGCTGACCGTAAGGGAACACCTCTACTTGGGAACCGACCTGGGGGTTGAATTAGTCAATATTTTATAGCATGGAATAATGTGGTTAGTTCGTTAAAGTGTTTAATGAACTAAAACATTAAGTGTTAAATAAATCCAATATAAAAGTTATATTGGGTAAACTAATAAACTTAGATAATTTCATTTAGCCGGATTTTACCTAAGTAATAACCCTAGTTGTAAAATACTAAGTGGGAGGATTAGGTGTATATATAAAATATACCAAGTATATGAGATATATGTGGTATCTATAGATTTGTTTATATTTCAGCATGTCTAAATCTATTGCCCTGCTTGCCGCCAAAAAACTTAATGACAAAAATTACACACAATGGAAAACGAACCTTAACACGATACTCGTGGTAGATGATCTTAGGTTCGTCTTAACTGAGAAGTGTCCTCAAGCTCCCACGTCTAATGCAGCCCGAGCCAGTCAGGATGCCTATGACAGATGGATCAAGGCCAATGACAAGGCTAAGATCTACATCTTGGCAACCATATCTAATGTATTGGCCAAGAAGCATAAGAGCATGGTCACTGCAAGGGAGATCATGGACTCGTTGCAGGACATGTTTGGACAGCCGTCCATTCAAGCTCGACACGATGCCCTCAAGTTCATTTACAATTCCCGCATGAAAGAGTAAACATCAAATCGAGAACATGTTTTCAATATGATGGTCCACTTTAATGTGGCTGAAGTGAACGACACTATCATAGATGAGTGGAGTCAGGTCATCTTTATCTTGGAATCTCTACCAAAAGAGTTTACTACAGTTTCACAGCAATGCTGTGATAAACAAGATAGAGTACAACCTTACCACGCTCTTAAATAAGCTACAGATTTTTCAGTCTCTTATGCAAAATAAGGGACAAGAAGGGGAGACAAACGTTGTCACCTCAAAACGGTTCCATCGAAGTTCGACCTGAGGAACCAAATCTGCATTTTTTTCTTCTGGAAGTAAGACTTTCAAGAAGATGAAGAACAATGGTAAAGGGTGAAAGCTGACCCCACTACTACTGCTGCTACCACGAAGGGCAAGGCGAAAGTTGAAGACAAAGGAAAATATTTCCACTGCAACGTGGATGGGCACTGGAAAAGAAACTGCCCGAAATACTTGGCTGAAAAGAAGAAAGCCAAAGAAGGTAAATATGATTTACTTGTTCTTGAAACTTGCTTAGTGGAGAATGATGATTCTGTCTGGATACTGAATTCAGGTGCCACTAACCATGTTTGTTTTTCTTTTCAGGGAATTAGTTCCTGGAGGCAGCTTGATGCTGGGGAGATGACTCTCAAAGTCAAAACGGGAGATGTCGTCTCAGCAGTCGCAGTGGGAGACCTAAAGTTGTTTTTAGACAAGAATACATATATATTATTAGATAATGTGTATGTAGATCATAAAATGAAGAGGAACTTAATTTCAATTTCTTGTCTGCTGGAACAATGTTATGTTATTTCCTTTTCATTAAATGAAGTTTCATTTCACGAAACGGTGTTAACATTTGTTCTGCAAAACTTGAAAACAACTTATATGTGTTAAGACCAACCGTAACTACAGCAATTTTAAATTCAGAGTTGTTTAAAAATGTTAAAACGCAACACAAAAATCAAAGAACTTCTCCAAAAGAAAATACCTATCTTTGGCACTTAAGATTAGGTCACATAAATCTCAATAGGATTGGGAGATTTGTTAAGAGTTGACTTCTAAGTGAGTTAGAAGATGACTCCTTACCTCCATGTGAATCTTGTCTTGAAGGCAAGATGACTAAAAGATCTTTTACTGGAAAAGGTACCTCAATTCGTACGRGATTCTGACGAATAGGGGCGGACATCCCTAACACTTAGCTCGTGGTTGTGCCATATGCCAGTCTGTCCCCTCTGCGATAATGTACTCCTTAAGTATACGTTTCCAACCGCCGATGGTCCCCTGTCCCACTATCTCCCTTGCCACTCGACACGTCACTTACTCGGATTTATAGTTTAAAAATATTATGTAATGGCTATCCAATTTTAAATTAGAGTTTAAATGTCCCATGAACTTATACATTCTCTTCTTTTTTCCTTAATTAAAAGTTGACATATTTGTATAGAAAATTTGAGAAAATCTCACTAATCATGGAAAAAGGAAGTAAAATAGTCGTAAGTCAAGCTCAAACCCAAGCAAATGAAGGAAGCTGAAGCCTCATTCGTCACCAAGCCAAAGGTACATTTGTTATCTAGTACTAGATTTTTACATACTAATCATATATAATATTCAAGAGTTCAGCGAGCTCAAAAACTTACATCCGACCCTGCCGTGAACCACGTAGATTCTCTAAAAAGTTACATTTTACCTAACATATGGACTCCTGTGATTTGAATCGTCTCGTAAACTTTAATTTTGTTTGAAGGTTGGACCCTTTTCATGATTATTCTCGAATATGGAAGACAATTGTTCTTGACTGATTATGATTTATTAATATTCATGGGGTTTCATCTCAAAATCAATTGACTATGAGAGGAGTATGTTAAGTCTCATCTCTTTTCAACGTGGGATACTTAACATATCTGCTCGTTTGAACGTTTTGGACTCTGATACCATATTAATATTCATGGGGTTTCATCTCAAAACCAATTAGCTATGAGAGGAGTATGTTAAGTCTCATCTCTTTTCAACGTAGGATCCTTAACATATCTGCTCGTTTGAGCGTTTTGGACTCTGATACCATATTAATATTCATGAGGTTCTATCTCAAAACTAATTGACTATTAGAGGAATAGCCCATGTCTTATTATAAACCATTGTTACGTCCCTCTCATGAGGGATCCTTAACATGATTTAATGTTTAAAAATCAAGTATTACTCAATTTGATTTTGTTTTATCTAAAATAAAGACGATGTTATGAAATGCTTGAGATCATTAGATTTTTTCGTGGGGGAGTGATATTTATCAGGGAGGAAGCCTACCTTATGGAGATAACTTAATATTACTTGTCTTAGTCTACTGCATCAGAATCCAACTTTATGATTATTTATTTGTTGAAAGTTTTCCAGATTCTCCGTCTCCTTACGCAGTCTTCATTTGGATATGCTTTCGATTTTAATAGGAAGACTACGCATCGATAAAAATGTTGTCTTTACTTATATATTAGATCTTATAGAACTAATAAAGAAGAGAGTGCAAAAAACAGCCTGCCTTAATTGTAAAATTTGTTACAATCGTGTTATCAGATATTCAATTTGATCAACCATCCCTTCAAAATTAAAAACTAAAGTTACAAAATTGTTGAGACTAAACCTTGTTTTTAATACTCTGCTAGTTGCAACTGGAAAGGTTTTTAATTAAACTCAACCTTTAATATAGTTTTAAGGATAAAATTTAATTACAGGGTGTTGTCCTAGAATCATCAAGTGTTTAATTTTAAAACAATAAAAACAACAACGTTAAAATACTGTTTTGTTCACGTAGTTTTAACTTGGTTCATTTTAACTCCGGTACTTTCTAAATGTTCATTTTCGTTCCTATACTTTTAACTTTCGTCGATTTACTTCTTATACTTACAAAATGTTTGTTTTGGTTTTTGTAATTTTAAAAAAGTGACCATTTTGATCTCTATTGTCAAACTTTTTACACAAATTCTACCCATAATGGAAACCATTTAATATAAACTCATGGTTATATTTTAATAAATATATTGAATGTAACGTAGAAAAAATGATATTAAATCAAACCTTTTGAAAGTATAGGAATTAAAATGAATCAAAATTAAAATTGCACGGACTAAAACCACCGTTTTAAAAGTATTAGTATCCAAAATCAACCAAAATTACATAATCAAAATAATACTTTAAATAAAACATCATTATATATATTTTACAAAACCCAAGAAATTTGCAAAAGAAAAGCAGCATCTAGAAGAGAAAAAAACACATATAGCATTGGGTCAAATGAGAAGTGGAAACAGTAGGATGATTAGGCACACAAGAGAATTTGAAAGCGGGCCCTTTCTTAATGAATTGATTTGTTCTACTAGGCTAGCTTAGCTAGGTAGTTCCTTGTTTAATTAATAATGTTCCACTACCATTAATATGAACATATGAATATATAATAATATGATAATGTGTCAAATCTTACAAGACTTTTTTCTTCTGAAAACCAAAACAATAAAAATTAAAAATTAAAGGCATTGCCCCCACCACCACCACCACTTCCCTTGTCATAGCTAGAGTTTTAATGCTTCCCCATGTGACCCTCATACACTTCAATCATATGCCTCAGTTTTACTCACTAATTTAAAATGTGCCTACCCTTCTAAAGCTAGGACATTATATTCATTCTCCATTGAAGAAAAAAAAACATTGAAGTTTTATTAAGTTACACGAGATTATTAGTTTAATCTCTGTGGTTTGCTAAAGATCATAGATTAATCATTGAAATTATAAAATGTTACGTTTTGACTCAGGTTAATATCTAACACGGTGATAAAAATAGCTCATATATACCTATGAAATTAGACTTATCTTTACGCAAAAGTATAGTTACATGACCATATGTTTTTGAGGAATTGTTTTTTCACCAGTAATTCGAGTATACTAGGTTTAATATAATAATAGTACAACAACATGTAAGGATGAAGATTCAAACTAAAAATAATTATGATTCATATCAAATAAAACTTTAAAAATAAAATTCTAGTCAAAATGACAGGTGTGAGCTTCAAATTTTTATTTAAGACATATTCCATATTTTCGCTTCATACAAAAAAAAAATTAAAAAAAAAACTCACTTACTTGTAGTATTTTCTCTTATATCATGTTGTGTTATATCATCACTCATGAGTTAATCAATATATCTTACAAATATTAATTAAAATAATGACTTAACATAATCTAATTTATACTCATCGATTAAATCAATATATCTCACGAACATTAATTAAAATAATGATGTTAATTATAGAAATTTAATATAATCAAATTCAAAAGTTAAAAAGATGTAAGTGAAACTTTGCAAAAAGCTGAAGAACGAATTTTGTAGTTTTACGTTTTCCAAGAAAAGCTAATTCACTGCTCTAAATTTGATTAAGATTTTTAAAAACATTGTTGAAAAGTAAAAAAAAAAAAAAAATTAGATCAAATAAATTGTTAGCCAACTATATGTCAACTTTTAGAAACCAAAAACTAAAGATAAAATCACAACCAAAAGTTACTTTTTCTCATAACAATGTTGGTTTTCGATGGTAGTTCACAATTCTCACTTTTACCAAACAAAATAACCATAAAGAACCCAATTTACCTTTTTGAAATGGCATGAAAATGATTGGTGGTATTATTGGGTCTAAGTTTTGTAGAATGAATATGCATTCATGTTATATGTGGTAATGAGGAATAAATTTAAAGCCCAAAGTGGGAAGAGAGAGAAAGAGAGAATTAATTAGATAAAAGATATTGAAGAAAGTCTAAGGTTTACAAGTTTAGATGCTTGACTTGAAAGATCAAATCATGATGATTTTCAATTTGAATAGCTTTTTTTAAATGAGTTGATATATAATGTATTGTATGCAAATGGGCATGAGGAGAATAAGGGGAGGGGGACCTCCAAACAGCATCTTCCCCAACTCACAAGTAGGCCCATCAAAATCACCTATATCACTTCAAAAAGGGGTTTCTAATTGTCTCTTCTTGGAAAAAAAATTAATAAAGAAATAAAAAGAAAACATATTCAGTATTTTCTTTTTGGTTTTTTAGGATTCTTTTATATTTGGTTTGTTATAAATAATTTATTATTTTACGTCTTCGATTTTGAAATTATCCATATTTACGGGGTTCCATCTCGAAATATGAATTTTGAGATAAATTATCTATATATTCGTATCTGAAATTATGATAAATGACATAAAACAAATATATATTTATAAAAATTTTATTGCTTTTTGTTTCTTTTTTTTTTAAATGTCACAACAGTTAGTTTTACTTACATATCACTTTCTAAGTTTTTTAATAGAGCAAGTTGGATGTGCGAAAGTTTGAACCTTCGACCTCAAGGAAAGGAGTAGGTGTTAATTATCATAGATCTATGCTCATGTTGTTTTTTTGAACTGAATGGTCGTTTGAATTTTTTGGCGCTAAAACTGGATGTTCGAAGGAATCGAATATAGAGTATCTATCACACCTAAATGATCCAATAATAACATCAACAACAACTTTCTTATTAACTCCAACAAAAATTTTGACAACTATTTTATTTTTCAAGAGAAAAAAAAAACTTTTATCATTTTTTTTCTCTTTTGGATGTTAAATATTCATTGTAATTCACCGTCAACAAGAATTTTCTTATTAACTGCCATAAAAATTTTCACTACCAAAATTGAGGCATTGATAAAAAAAAGGTCACTGAAAACACAAAATTGTGACCTTCCAATTTTAACGACAAAAAACGTCTATTTTCTCTTTCAACATTCCTCTCAACGTGTAAAAAACTTAAGGGTGATTAAGAAAACATGTATTCTCTAGTTAAAAAAAATGGAAAGGAGTTATATCTCTTTCATTTATTTGAAAGGGAAAGATGATATTATTTTTATTTTTTAGTGAAAAAGATTATGAATGAGAGAAGAATTTGCATATAAAGAAAGATATAGAAAACAACTTGAGTTGGGACTTAGGGAAGAGAGATTGTCATTGCACTACTATTGGATTCTCATGAAAAGAAAAAGAGGTCAACTCTTCCTCAAACTGATTACGTCATCATCCACGTCATCTCTCTTTTCTTCTCCTACTTAAACCCCAACAACCAAAAGCCTCGCAACTCCTCCAAATTCTCTCTTCTCTCTTCTCTTCTCTTCTGCCGCGGCGTCATGCACGGCCTTTCTGCCGCCGCTCTCTGCCACCTCCACTCCCCCGATATCGCCATCTCACCACTGCCACCTTTCCCATCGCTCCCTAATTTCTCGCTTTCCCACTACTCTCCCTCGCCGCTCTCCGCATATTGCCAGCTCCTCAGGTGCCAGTTGGACTCGGTTCCCGAGTCGGAAGGGTTGTTGAACTCAGAGGTCAGTTACAGCGGCAGTAGCGGACCCTGTAGTAGCAACGGATCTCCGACATCACAACCTGGCTTGATACAGCGGAGCTTGAGCAGCCATGGACTGGACCTCCAGCTCTCGGCGTTGGGTCCAGTCAGAAGGGTTCACAGCGCTGGTGATTTGCAGGTCAGTTTGCTCCACAAAACTCACTGCAAAATCTCACCTCTTGTTTCATATAACTGYTTGCAGTCAAAAAAACTTTAATCACCATTTATTTTCTAACTCTACCGTATTTCTTCAAAGTTCCAGCATAACCATTCATTTCCTTTTTCAACCCCAAAAAGAAAATAAGAAAAGAAAAATTATCTTTTGAAAATAAGAGTACAAAGGATAACCAATAGATAACCAGATGTTTACCGATGAGCACGCATCTTCATATTTACTCCCTATACAAATTTGATAATTTTTTACCTTTTGTATAATTAGAAAAATATGTGTCTTTTTCTGTATTTCTCTTTTCACTACAATAAACACAATTGTTTTCTAAAACTATTACTAAAATAAATAATTATATTTATAGGTCTAATCGGCCTATTTTTACTTGCTAGTACTAAAATTTGACAACTAGGATAGAGTAAATTAGAAAAAGAGAGTATTTTTTTTTTTTTTTTGTCAAAAAAATATATGAAGAGTTCTCAAATTTTGAGCAAGGAGAGGAACAAGTATTCTTATGGTTTTTTTCCCCCTTAAAAGTCACTTTCAACTTAGGTCGAGAACCTTCATGTCTTAAACTCATAGTCAAGCAACAATTATTTCTCCCACATTTAAAATAATTTTATAATATGGACAAATAATTTTCCCAATATGAAAAATAATATCAATTAAAAAAATATAAGTCCTTTGATTTTGAATAAAAAATAAGATAGAATAAAAATGATGAATGATGGTGGAAATGAATAATCAGGGGAGGGCAGAAAGGGGATGGTCGAGTGAGAGCAGTCTGATAATCGAAGGAATGGCCAAAGCTTGTCGGTATAGCCCTGAAGAGAAGAGAGAGAGAATTGAGAGATATAAAACCAAGAGAAACCAGAGGAATTTTAACAAGAAGATTAAGGTAATTCTTTTTTTTTTCCTAGTATATAATTTTCTAGAACACAATTATTGGTTATTACCCATTTTTATTTTGACTTCCAATAAAAATTTTGTATTTTCTTTTTCTAATTTTTGAGTAAGAGACTGTATTCATCTCTCTTGTAAAAAATTCAGAGCTTTGAACATTTCAGTTTTCAATTTTATTGAAAAACTAAACATTTGCAAACTAGTCAATAATTTTTTTCCATTTTTTTTTGAATCATTTCCAAAATTGTATAAAAATTTTCGAATTTTTTTATTTTTATTTTTTTCCATTTCTAACAAAATTAAGTTTTCTTTCTTTTTTTTTTCAATGAAAAAAATAAAGAACGTGAAATAGTTAGCAAATGCAATTACGTTTTTACAACAAACCAAAATATTATTAAATTGGCTTTTAATGGTGGCCAACAAAATATAGGTACTGTAAACATTTAAGTTGTTTTTTGTTTTTTAATATACTATATTTGATGATAATGCATGAATTCATGAATCATACGTGTGACCAACGTAATATAACAAACGTCATCGTAATATATCACATCATATAATTAGTATCGATGTAGGATCAACTTATATGGTTTCAATAATGATGATGAATTTTTAAATTGTTTGTAATGTTCATTTTATCGTAAAAAAAGAAATAAATAAAACGAAATTGTTATCTTACCGTCTTTGAAATTGAAATATTTAGTGCTTTTCTCTCTACATGAATATAATTTAGAGAGAGAAAGCGGAAGAGAGAGAATAAATAATGGCAAGATGTATCTCAGTGGAGTAAATATATGATTGGATAGGCTTACTATTCATATGTAGCTAGCAGCAGTGATGTGGTATTTTTCCATTTTCCATTTTCCAATGAAAATTTTCCTATTTTCTTAGATATATTATTATTTAAAGAAATTGTCACAGTTGATTAAAGATACTCATCTCGAAGGTTGTTTGAATCTACCCCACATTTTTTCTTGAAAAAAAGAAAAAAAAAAGTTATTTAAAAAATTAAATAGTTTACAATTTTATTTGTATTTAGTGATTCTTTTTTGTCTCCAGACATTTGTGTGAGGATACATCATAGTCCATACATTTTAGTAGTTGTATTTGTTTAGTCTCTAAAATTAAAAAGTTTTTGTTATGCCGTAAATTTTTTAGTTTGATTCTTAATGTCATTAATATTTAACTATCATAGCATTGTATTGAAATGTGTGAAGGATCCTTTTGTTTTCCCTAATATTTAAATAATAATTGTATATTAACAGTAAAGACTTCTTATCTTAGGCTACGAATTTGGTAATGCTAAACTGAAAATGATTTAAAATGTTTAATTCATCAATAGAATTGGAATATAAAAATTAAAAAACAAAAAAATATAAGTCTTTGGATAATATATAATACGTTATAGTATCTTCACAATGTTATAATGTTGTTAACTTTAAGGATATATATCTATCATGATAATTCACTTTCACTAATCAATGTGGGACTTTGTTTACATAACTTGCCGTCTCAATATGAATTAAAAGTGGTATTTTATTATTTTTACAGTACGAATGTAGGAAGACATTGGCAGATAGTAGAAGGCGAATAAGAGGGCGATTTGCAAGAAACGAAGAAACTGAACACAAGAACTTCACCACCTCGCCGGTCGAGTCTTGGAGCTACGCCACCGGGGAGGACGACGGCTCCTGGATTAGCTTTCTTGACTCTTGTTCTGTTAATCTTGTTCCTTGATTTTTAAATTTACATCCTCTCAACTCAATTTCCTCTGCCAAAAAAGAAAAATAAAAGGAAAAAAGAAAAAAGAAAAAGAAAAAAGAAAAGTAAGGATCATGAACTTTGTAAATTAAGGATCGAGTTTTATTCTATCACATGATGTCATGTGTATGTGTCTTTTATATATACTAGTTAATATATCACGTGCAATACACGTGGTTTTGAATATTTTAATATAGTGTGTGACAATTTAACCTATAGAATAACAACTCAACACAATTTTTAAATGGTACTAATTTTTAGTTTTTCAAATAAAATATAAAATTATTCTAGGACAATTCCAATAAAAAATAGACAATATTCCAAATAAGACAATAAAATAAGATGTATAAAAAACATCGAATCTAATATAAATTTGAAATAATTAATGTGGTTATTAAATTTTAATTAGAGATATTTTTATAAATTTAAAGATAAGCAAATCTATTCTTAATTAAGACAAAATAAATTAAATAAATTATGTAACTAAAAACTCAAACATGAATTAATTTGTTAGATAGTCAAAATTATAATTAAATACTAAATGATGGGAATAAATAAAATTACTTGTTTATTACTACTTTCTAAAATTGAAATATCAAATATCTTGTTGTGATTTTTGAAAAGATAAATATAAATGATACTATACCATTTAAATATAAAAATAATTAGAAAATAAAATTTATACTTACGGGCACCATTATTACAACTTTCTTACCAAAACTAAACTAAATATGGAAACAAAACTATAAGAAAATTTAAAAAATGAACAGTGCAGTGAAGTATATTAAGATAATCTTTGGTAGTTAAAAATAGTGTTTTGATATTAGAAAAATTAAAATAAAATAGACAGAACACAAAAATTGAAGTGCACGACGAATGACTCATATTTCTATGCAAAATTCATTTGAATGAGACAATTCTTATTTGTTGTCAATTTAAAAACAAAAACAAAAACAAAAAACAACAACAATTTTGTGTGTTTTTTCTTAAATTATTTACTTTATCGACCTTTTATTTTGGGTATATTATGTAATAAGGAAGCATGAATCTCAGATAAGAGAAATTAAAGAATTGAAATTTGAGAAATAAACGAAATATACTGTATACCTACCATGAAATCATTGAAAACACACTACAACAAATCTGCTATTCATGATGGGCATTGCCCAACATTAATTATTAACCATGTCGGTCACTGACCGACATCTATACGAGTGTCTTTGTTTCCCTTTCATGTCGGATAGTTTTAAGGTCGGGCATTGCCCGTCATGTATAGAGTTTTCCATGATGCCGTCATGAAAGAATAACCATGACGGGTGACGACCGACATCTTTATGACTGTCTTTGTTTTCTGACTGTCATTGTATGTTCGACATTGTTTGTACGCCATTGTTTGTACGAGTGTCCTTGTTTCCCTTTCATGTCGGATAGTTTTAAGGTCGGGCATTGCCCGTCATGTATATTTTCTTTCCATCCGGACATGGCCGTCATGAAACGACCCTTTTAAGGTCGGGCATTGC